TTTAAAGATTGTGCCGAATCTTTTTGTTACCCACGGTATATCATACTCGATTCTGCATTATGTTAACGTCCGTGGATGCATTAACATCAGAGTCTCTGACCTCCCGTCGTGACTTCGCGTTAGCCGAGATTGTACACACCAGAGACCGTCAGGTAGATCAGCCAGCTACCCTCCAACGTTTATTGGACTGCTGGTATCCCGGTGCCGGCGCATATCGGTGCCCGAACCCCTATGACGGAAAATAATGAAAGTAATAGGAACACGCCCACTGCATTTAGCCCGCTCAACGTCCCCTCCTCCCTTCTACACCGCTGGATATCGCCACGGTTCCAACCTCCCCTGTGCTCCAGCAGCCACCGCCTTGTTCATTCTCATCCGTCCCAGAGACCATTGGCCATTGTACCTGCCACTTCATTGTCCTTTATTTCATTATTTTTCCCGCATTCCAGACTGCACCACCCTCCCACTACGAACCGTACTGCGCCGCGAATCATCCCCCTTGTATTTACGCGCCGTAATAACAGACGTCTTAACGGAATCTAATAAACGTCATAAATGGACCGCCCGTGATCTCATTAGTTTACGAGATACTCGCTTTTTCGATCTCCACCCCTTTCACGCCGATGTCGTTCGCTTGAACTTGGATCCGCTTTGTGCTTTTGTGGACCTTTGGTACTTCCATCCCACCTCCCCCCCCCCCCACAGGCGTTGATCATACGGATGGTGGTTATCGTGATCTGAAGATCGTTCTGGAGATATTGGAAGTGTTGAAGGTTGGGAGTTTTGATTTAATGGTGATAAGTAGACTGCGGAAGTTTATGCGAAATTATATTTCTCGAAGTGATCTGTAAACGCAGATACGAAGATTGGATTTTATTAAATTTCTTAAAGATTTTATTATGGTAGGAACAAGACAACAATGTATTAGATTTAATGGTAGTTGTTTATATTTGTTGTTTGTCTAGAGGGTAAATCGTTAAAAATTATTACCTTGAATGTTTGTGAAATTAATGGAATTAATGTTAGCTCATAAGGAAATGACCCCAACTGTTCGACTTCGATTTTAACGGGGTTTTCTAAGATGATAGTGTATAGGTTCCTAATTATATACGTATGTGAAATATTAGGTGTAGACCCTGGATAATTGTAAAGATATAAACAATTGGAGTTACGAAGCTTCGAGATATAAGTATATTATGAATATAAGTCGGAACTTGTCGAAGTATAAGGTTGTCCGACTGATAAATTGGATTTTTGTTTTACTTTTCCTACTTCCATAAGTTTGACCTATGTTCATAATATATCTCGAAGGATCGTAACTTTAATTATTTATAGCTTTAGAATTATCGATTGTCACATCTAATATGTCATACATATCACTAGGTACTATCATTTACACTATCATTATACAAAACGTCGTTAACCCTTTAAATGTTTTATTTCATTTTAAAAATGTGCACTTATGTGCTTAATTATTGTTAAGCTATGACGAGTATACTCGAGAAAAGCAGAATAAATACATTTGCTGTAAAATTGAAATAGATCGAAATCTCGACAAGATAACTACATCATCTACATCATCTAAGGATCACCATTCCCCTATATTCCACTCAAAACACTGTCATCGGCCATATATTTGAGAATGTGCACCGTGATTTTGCCCCGATAATATGATTATAGACCTCTGTGCCTCTCTCTCTCTCTCTCTCTCTCTGTATCGCCGTGCACCCTATGTCATCCTTGCTTCCACCCATCTCTCTACCCACTCGCGTCTCTCTACGTGTCTGTACCTACGTTACGTGTACGTGCGTTCGTCTGTTGGACCGTCCTTTTCATCCCACCAGCAGCCCCCCACGGATCTCGGGCGCCGCAAGGGGGATGAGAACGCCGACACCTCCACCCTAACCCCCACCTTCCACCATGTACACGGCCCTGAACCGAGTGAGTAGCTACGCTCGGCTCTGATCCCTCGCAATTACTTCCCATTATCTGGGTATTAGGACTCACCCCAACTGGAAGCACGACGTGTCCCGCAGACTCCGCCTATGGCCGTGTGCCCGGAACCCGAAAATGCCTCGCTCTCTGCCCGTCAAGGCAACGTCGACGGCGTTTCCCCCCCTTTTCTTTCGAGACCCCGGACTCTTGGGCAACAGGTAGCTAAAAGACGTCCTCGAACGATCTGGGGAACGGATCGAGTATCGATTGCCTTATTTACGATCAGACCTTTTTGTAGAGGGGGATGTAGTGTACAGGGTGGACCACGAAACGTGATCAGCTTAGATTATTCGACTGCTAGCTGTTCGAACGAAAATTTTATTGGTTAGTACAGTAATGTTTCCGATGAGTTTGATTCACTCGGGTCCGCTTGAATTAGTTTTGAGAGGGGGATCACCTCGGTGGTGGAAATAACGACGTAGTTCGTGTCGCATTCATCGAGGAAAGACTGTATATATACATTCAAAAAGAGCTTTAAGATGAGTGTACCTCATTTTTTTGTCAACTTTTTTTCTATAAAGTTTTCAAAGTCACTTTTTAATTTTTTTACGCCCATCCCCGGGTACTGAGACGAATCCGGGAAGCATTATAACAAATAATGGTTTTTCTTCTAAAAATCTGAAATATCATTTACCTTAATTAATGTCAGCTGTAAACGGTGAAGAAACGATTGCTTAGTTCAATTTGCGATGTCTGCACTGATGGTTGAGGTAGCTTCTGCGTTTGTTGTAGTATCGAACTGAGACTCCATATGGCGCTTTATGCATTGTATCAATTTTACTAATTTAATTTGAATGATTAATATTTGAAACTATTTCAAAATACTTAAATGCAAAAAAAATTCACAAATACAGTGATTCTTCGTTTAGTTTTAGTTTTCTTTGATCGTTAATATATCTTTTTCTCTCTGTCATGATAATCTCCGTAAACGAATCTATAACCACCTAATTTTTTAATGAAAATATCATTTTTTGTAACTAAATTCGAAGTGATTAATTGCTCAGTATCAACTACAGTTCCACAAGACTCGTGTTAAAAATAAATTTTTATAACACTTCTTTTTCAATAATTTTATCGTTGACCTTGCGATTTTTTTATAGCAATCGAAAGTTGAAGCATTTAAGAATGTTCTGTTAAATTTTCAACTAAATTTATTATTATTAAAAATTCTCATAAATATAATCGACATTTAAACAAATTCACAGTAACTAAACTATCCAAAATCAACTTCACAGACATTCAAAATGATTGGCCATTTATTCTTCAACTTATTAATATTCGTGATTTAATCATCGATAGGGTGGCTCGTTGTCGATGGCCAGAAATTAAGCCGAGATTAATTGCCCGATTTCTTTGGCTCGTGGGTCACGTTAAGCTACCGAAAATGTCCCAAACGACGGGCAGGAAATGTCACGGTGCCAATTAGTGGGATGGTAATCTAGTAGAAAGGCACGTTCGTACTTCTTGACCCGAGACGCTACCAAATGTCAAATGTGACACTTTTCTGCCATCGATATAGCCATAACGTGCCCATTATAGTTCTTTATAATGGGAAACGATTATAATTGCATTAAAAAATTCTTTTCTTTTAATTAAGAGACAAAGTTTTAACATAAAAATGATTCATAATTATGTAATGCATTAATCATCGTGTTGACATTGTATAAAATTCATCATTAAGAAATGAAGGATTAATTAATCTGGTATTAAAAGTTAAAGTTGATCCTTAAAGTAAGATATTGAATCTCAAGTAATGTTCTAGTCAGTTTGACCCGAAAGCAAATCATAATTTTTATTCATGTATTTTTTGCAGAAATTTTTTATTTAACTTAGTACATGTCGAATGAGATTGAATTTCGTTTACGACGTATTTACCTCAAGAGTACACGATATGAAAGACGAATTAACTCGACTTCCCCAATTAACAAGTTAAAAAGAAAAATGTCAAATAATTACTGAGAATTTCGGCAACATTTTCAAGGTTTCAGGATATAAATAAATAAAATAAAAAATTAATGGTCAATTTTTTTCAGCGAAAGAAATTATAAATATTCTTTTTATCGGGGATCAACTAAAAGGGTGCAATTAAGGGTGGCAAAGAAATAGACGGTGTTACATCGTGACATTTTAATCCCAACTTGAACCACAAGCTAACTTTCTACTTCGCTATAAAAAGTGACACGAAACAGACTAGCTTTAATTACGGCATTTTGTTATAAAAAGTGTCGCGGGAGATCGATTAGCGAGTCATTTACACGTTTACACTTTCTACATTCTTTTTGTCGCTGATAAAGTTTCCACGGTGTCTCCTATCTTACACTATTCTCGTCCATTCACCCTTTTTTCTTTTCTTTTTTTTTTTACAGTATCTTTTTTCGATCACGAACATCCGTCATCACCGAAAGTTTCACATTCACCAGTCACTTGCTTCGTCCACTGATCACTGCTTGTTTATAGATTAAAAACAGAAGGGGACACTTCTTCGTTACACTTCTATTCTTTACAACGTACAACACAGTTCGCCAAGATTTTAATGTAATGATGAGAACGATTTTCATCGATTGCTTCCTCAAACATTAATTTCAAATTGTCCTTAACAATTATTGACTCGTTCTTAAATAAATTCACTCTCAAAACGATGTTCCATGGAATGATTTTAAGCTTCCTAAATGGAATATACGTGTCATATTCACACGAAGAATATACAATCTTCTAATTGCACAAAGAATCTTCTGTAACGAGATCACTCGTCACTAAATCATCCATCTTTAGGACGGAGAATACTACATTAATTATCATTTTCCAATTAATTCCCCAAAGTCCGTGACTGGAAGCTCAAATCTTCAACCCCCATTACGTCACTTGGACTTTCGTTCTCGTTAGAATTTACTTCTTCTACGATCTTCCATTTGCTTCAAAATTCTTCGTGTTTATTCAAGTTTCTTTATCGTTCGATCAGGCTGTTCTTTTTCTTTTCCAAGATCGTACACTGTGTCCACGTTATTTCAGCGGTGTTGACGTTGAATCGTTTGTCCGTGTTGCGACTGATGGGGTAAGGTAACTGGATGGGAGTGCGACATCTGATGGAAACTCGTCGGCGAACCAACACGTCTCGAGACGTGCATGTTGCTCGTCCGCGTCGGCGACGGTGTCTCGTCGCCCAGTACGTCGATCTCGTCGGAGTCGGAGTCGACTGGAGCGTCACTGCTCGCTCGTGACTCCCGGCCACCGGTTAGCGAGAAATCCACGGGTCTTTCTGTAAAACAATTCGAACACAATTACATTAACTTCTATCGAAGATTCGAAGTAATTTGATTTTATGTTTGTTCAGCCCTCTCCGTCCCTTATGCCAATTTGACACATTTTTCTCCTAAGAAATGATGTTAAAGTAGATTCAGCTGAGGCTCTGTGACTTTTTTTTTAAAGAGCTTGCAAATTTAACTGTTTATCTTTTCGTTATATTCATTTTTTACCACTGTGGCAAATTGACACTGAGGGACAAATTGAGTTGGGGAAATGGGGGACGGTTTAGGATTAACACTAGAACAACCTCAAGTATACGGATAAATATAAGTTGAAGTTACACACTTGATCTTGTAAAACGATGCAACACGTGATTTGAAATTTCGATGTCAGGGCGACATTGGACTCTAGTTTAATGATATTAAACAGCGTAAACATGGCGCGGCACGGGCAAAATTTTACCACAGGATTCGGTAGAATTTACAGTCCGTATTTTACACAGTAACTATAAATAATTGGCAGAATTTTAATGGGTCCGAAAGTGGAGCGGGAAGCTCTAAATTGAATCTTATTTTAGAAGTTTGTGGAAAGTAAAATAACCTTGCCGTCGATATTAAAATTAAAGAAGTTGACAGAAACGCTTTTCTGGCCTTTTGATTTAAAAACAAGGTAATTATTAGCTATTAGAAGACTGTAATCTTCATGTAAATTCAGAGTTTTATAGATCAATTTACGGAACTCAAATTATGTTAAAAATTTTTAACGAGTATACCCATGAACCGTTAAATTGTTAAATAAACAAACCATTTTGCCCGCATAAAACCAAATGAACCCACATAAACAAATTTCCATCAAAATTCTAGCAACAAAACCTACATAGGTACTTCAAGCGACAAAATCACTGGAAACATCCAGCACGCGAATCATAAGCCTGAACCACAAATCGGCCATTTTGTCTTCCCCAAACCTATTCAACTGCCCGCGTAATTACAATTTCTCCTTATACATTACCACGCAAAACCCATTACTCCGGCCAATCACAGAAAAGAGGTAGGAAACCATTCAGAATACTGTCCACAAGCGGATTGAAGATCGTTTAATTGAATTGGGTCGGATATATGCCGATATACAAGTATAAGGTCCTCGACAGAAGGGGGGGCGGGAGAGGTCTTGGTGGCTAGGAATCGAGAATGTAGGTCTGGCCGAGCACTTAGCCGATAATTGACCAATTTTCTCGAAGACCGAGAATCGAGAAGACAAGTGGTAAGATGGAGGGGGTGGGGGACGCGAGACGGTCGTAGGTAAGACGTCGAAGAACGGGACGAGCGAAGGAGATAGAAAGGGTGGAGGACGCAAGACAGAGGGGGTGGGTGCCGTAACTCCGCTGCTGGGGGGTTCCTTAGGCGGTATCCGTTCGAGTCTCTAGACGACGAGGCGGTCTCATCTTCTGCGTGCTTTCTACCCCTTACAAGTCCACCCCCTCCCTCTTTCTTCCCGGCTGCCAAGGAGATGTCTGCTAACTTCGTTAGCCCTTCCTACCCGAACGAAGCCATCTTGGCTACCGAGACCGAGGAACTTGGCGAAGGTTACGAGCAGATGCGCCGCGGCTCCGGGAATTACTTGAGATCGTGTCCTCCCCGCGTCTTGGCCGACGATCATTTACGGTGGTGGTCGACTGAAAGTTTAACCTCTTTCGTTCGACGAGTCTCGTTCCTTGTAGTATTTTACTCGACACTGCTTTCACTCGGTGTCTACTTTAACTTATCGAGAAACGTTTCAGGGGCAGATTATGTTCTGGACTTGTTTTAGAGGTTAGGATGCTTATGGTGATATACAGGGTGTCCCAAAATAGCTTCGACTCTCGGAAATTAGGGGTTCCTGGGATGATTTGAAACAACTTTATTCCTTAGCGAAAATGTTGTCCCAGGCTTCGTTAACGAGATATTACGAAAAAAAACCTCGACCAATCACAGCGCGAGTCTACTGGCTGAGTTCCCGCGGTAGCGTTGGCTACCAATCACAGCGCGTAGCGAATGCTACCGCGGTCGGGGTTTTTTGTTAATATCTCGTTAACAAAGCCTCGGGCAACATTGTAGCTGAGGAAAAAGTTGTTTCAAATCATCTCAAAAGTATGGGATCAGGTCTGATAATTAAGAAAAGAGAAAAATATTATTCTACAAAGATATATAGAAATGTAATATGATAAAACTGTGGTGATTCTGTAACTTTTATTATATCATAATATAAGAATCAGTTACTGTTCCATCAATTATGACCTCTGGTCCCATACTTTTGACTGGTACTGTGTATACATATGACCCAGGGATGTACAATATATCCCCATTTTAAATTAATTTCTATTCTGCACCAGATCTGAAAAATTATTGAAATACTGAAGTCTGTCCACTGCCCAAGAACTCTAATTGCACCGAGTCCATAAAAAAGTTTTCTTTTACGAATTCGCTAGTGCCACAATTTATTATCACCGTCGATTATACTACTTCAAATTACTCTGTAGTTTGAAATAATGAAATTACTACTCAAACATAGAAAGAAAGAACAAAGTGTATACAGCCAATAAGACACTGCAAACCTCCAATATTACAGATGAAATTTTTTATTTAGTTTCATTCGTAACGTCGTTTCGTTATAGTGTATTTAAAAAATACACATTTTATGGCTTCAGAATATGTGTCTGTGTGTTTGCATTACAAAAGAGAATGATTTTGTTGGCTCACGCGAGAAAGCGGATTCAATTGCTCGCAGATCGTGCGTCATTTAGTTCGCTGCGCCTATAATCCCGCGCCATTTTATAATGTACACCTGTGTGTACGTGTATAAAGCGTCGCAGTTATCACCAATTACTGCTACAGCCGTGCTCTATTTACACGACAGCGTTACCCTCGCCTTCGACACTGTTATTGATACGTTAATGCAATAGTATTGCAGTACTTGTAACAAAGTCTACTAACGAACACTTTCCGCCATTACGTGGAGCCGCTCGGAATTGATTCTGACGATGGCATTAAATGTCTCGTCTTATGGAATTTCGTCTGTAACGGTTATTAGAGTGTCTCAGAAAATATTTCACATTTATCATTCTTTGCATACAAGTTATAAATGGAAAAAGAAAATAATTTTAATTGGCAGAAACACATTTTATTATTACTAGACCGGGAATGATTCTGCAAATTAAAATTTTTATGGATTAACATATAAAACTGCAAATTTATTACAAATGTATTAATTGAACTTTAACGAATGGAAATTTATATATGACGGAATCGAACTTCAAAGTTTGTTCAATTATAAAACGTTTACAAATTAGCAATTGTTAGAATAAATAAAAAGGTGAACATTTTATGTGGCAGCTTATTTAACTTATTATCCTGTCATAAGTGTAAGACAAGGAAATGTAATTTGGATTATGTTTTGTAAAAGTACCATTGTTCCATACAATACTTTGAATAAATATATAAACAAATGATACATCAGGTATCATGAAATAAAATAAATAATACCATAGTATAATCAAATAATGGAATAATATAACGTAACGATTTTTTCGTATCATTCTGGCAAGAATGTCATTCAAAATTGATCGAGAATAAAATGTTAACATATCCTCCAAGAACTCAATTTTTGGACGCGAATAAGTCCTTCTATATTAGAAAATGTCACATTTTAGAAAGAATGATAAGGGAATCACGTTGTTAATATTTATCGTGGAAATCTGTCGTAACCTGGCAGCGACGGCTGATGGGATCAAGCGATATTCCATAAAATTTTCATTCAAAAGCTCTGCCAAAAATTTAATGGTCGATTAATCCTCCGAACGCCAATTTTACTTATGATTAACACTTTCAGTATGTCGAAACAATGATTTGTAGCTGCATTGTAAATCGAAAAATCAACATTGCGACTGTCTTGTTACTCAAATATCGCCTACATCTAATACGAGTACAATAAGGAAAAAAATGTTTGCTTTTTTCCACTTATTTATAAATTCTTTTTCCACGTCAATATTTTTAATTAATTTAAAATATTAATCATTGAAATTAAATTCACGACATACAACCCAAAACGCATGAGCTACCTTAAGTACTATGCAACATCCGTGGCCACATATTCCTATCAACTACAAACAGAATCATTTCTTGAACTTATCACAATGATAAAGTAAGTGTCATACTCTGTCGTTGTGACATTTCTTTTACAGTTAACTGTCCCGTACTAATAAAGATCGCGAGACGACGATGAAACTAATTATACGGATTCAAGGTCGTTGACGCCATTTATCAGGGATAACGCCGTTTTAATCCGGATACGAATCGCCGGATATCGTACGGCAAAAAGCGATCATTATCCAGGCAACGGCAGTTAATCATTCTAGTCCCTGGCGGGCTCGGTTACGGTCTGGTTAGTTAACTAAAGTTGCGTAATTTATTGTCAGCCGAATTTTGGTTGCATTATATGGTCCATTAGCTTGATAACCGTGGAACTATTTGACGTACACCGAAATTCCGACGATGGCCTCGGCCGCGCGCGCTCCAATGCAAATTGATAATCACAATTACGAAGTTTATACTAATAACGATTTAATTGCGATACACAAGCCGCGATCGACTTTTCGCGATTATTACTTTCGTGCATCCGGTGCCACGATCGAAACCGCCGGAAGTGGGAAAATCGTCGAGCGGCGAATTTTTCAGCGACGCTCTGCGTAAGTAATTTCGTTTTTGAAAATTGTCCAAGGAAGTTCAGACTAATATCACAGGATATAGTATATAATAATATACAGGATATTCCAAGAAGGATGTACTTGATTTTTTCTGTCGTAAGCTTTGTTGATCATTGTTTGTAGAAAATTTTGTTATCGTAGCATATTAAGAGACGAATGTTTTGGGAATAGTTTGTGTAAGTTAATCTTTAGGAAAAATAAGTCGAAAATATAGAATAACGTTTTTTTATTTGAGAGTTTGTTTTCGAGGAAATCGACTTTGAAACCTGCTGGATAAATGAGCACTTGAATGGGACTTATTGGCTAACGCGTCTGTTCATTGCATTCCATTTCTACTTATTGCTAGCAAGAATTACACGCGTTGCAGGTGAATCTTCAACTCTTATACCTACATAGTACCTTATGAGTTCTCCGAGTACCGTCCAAAAATACCTTGAGCAATACACGATCTTTGAGGTATTTATTAAAATTAACATGTTTCTCTTAAAAGTGAAGATATTTTCACTTTTTTTTTGTTTTATTATTCCTATCCAATAAGTTTTCCACTATTGCATTTATTTTCGTAAAAATAAAGTGTCATTCATGTGTTTAAATTATATTAAAATGGAAAGCCGATATATCAGCTCAGAGGTACTAAAAGGGTTAAAGTCGACTTTCTCAAAAACGAAGTGTCAAATGACAAAATTTTATTCAATGTTCTCGAGTTATTTTTTCACATAGAATCAGCCCCACTCGGTTGTGCAATCAGTTACATGACATCCTATATAATATACTGTATTCCAATAATTTTGAAAGTCACCTATAATTGTAAGTAAAACATATGGAAGACTTTAACTGGCTACTGTCATAATTCAGGTTACACCAAACACATTTTAATCACTACAAATTCACTCTATTATCTCAAGCCTGGTGTATCATTTACACAAATCTTTCTATGATACAAAAACCCAGATTAAAAAAAAAATTATTTGTCGCTAAATAGACACCTAATGAAAGAATTATTTTTCATTAAATGAAACCTAATGAAAAACATTTCACAAATTTCTGTTAATCTCATTGACATACTACATTTTATACATTGATATGTGCTACAAATGCATAAAATTCTCCGCCTATTTATACTGCAGGAACGAAGAATTTAAAAACCAAAAAGGGGGAATATTTTCCACGCACAAGCCTAATATAAAAATTTTCATCTGTTTCCTGTCTCACTGTCAGAATTACAAAATATGATTTATGGATAATTGATTATGCAGGACAGATCGTGCTGTTAATCCGAGCTAATTGACGCGAAACAGTGGGGCGCGCGCGCGCGCGTGGGTGCTGTTTATCGAAAAGTCGATACACGTGTTTAGCGGTAATTACGCATTGTGACGCGGCGGATACGAAATTGCATAGGTTCTGCAATCGCAATTAAACGCTTGAATTACCGAGGCAACGCGTGAAAATTTTAAGCGTCATCAAGTTTATAATAGGAGGCTAACTTCCGTTTTATCAACTATCGGCTTCCTCGAAAATCACAGCCGCGTGTTTCGCGTCTCTGATCGCGTATAACCTGGAGGATTCGCATCTACCCATCTGGCATCGAAATCTCTTCCTCGATTGCAGAAAATTGTTACTGTCATGATTATTGCCTTCCGTTGTTTTTTTTTCTTTGTAGTATTTAAGTAAAGTCAGATCGGTACAGATTTTTATTTCTTTTTTACGTTGCATAGACTCCGTGGCGTAACTATAAAACCACCCTTAAAATTTTCTATTCTTATGTATTGTGGTTAAAATTAAAGCGAACCAAAATCATGTTAAGAAATAATATTTCTCCAGAAACGGATAGATTATATTTTTTAGAAAAAAGGTGGTTCGTTTATATTTTAACCACAATACATAAGAATTGAAAATTTTAGGGTGGTTTTTGTGGTTATGACACGCAGTGTTATAGGTGATTAGGAACGAAGTTTAGTCTACATCATGATTTTTTAAGGTTAGAGTCGAGTTTTAATAAACATCAAGTTATTAAAATAAGCAAATGACTAAATATTGATTTCTTTTCAATTCCTTGTTTTATATTCAAGCCATTTCCACGCCATTGACTAGAAATGTGCATTTACCTAATATTATTCATTCACTGATGAAATCTCTATTTTTTTTCTTCCGAATTTAACTACATACATTTTTCTACTTTTTCGAATCGAAACCTATACGTTCTAAAAAAGTGTAGATATTAAAAACTCTAATTATCATTTGCCAAATATTTATTAATATTACTATCATTTAAAATTCGACTTTAATAGTTACAAAATCTCTTAAGTGTTCATTCACTGGATCTTTTGCCTTATTTTTTCCACACATTCCGTTTCTCTGTACAGTATAATATATAATTAGATCACGTTCGATATCTAACAGCTGTTTTTGAAATATGTATAAGGAAAATACAGATACGGGTCAAGAATGACCCGCCATCGACGTGTCGCGTCGTCGTTTACGGTCAGCTGTGGGGAGGATTAAACAAAGAAAAAAAATGGAAGAACAAAATATTTTACTCACCGGCGGGCGACGTGACGGAAACGGATTGGCCGGTGCACGGCTGATTGGAATTCTGATTGCTGTTGCTACCCGCGCTTGTGCTCAATTTCCTCAATTGTTTCTTGTGCTTCATCCGCCGGTTCTGGAACCACGTTTTCACTTGGGTCTCCGAGAGGTGAAGAGCCGCCGCAAGCTCGACCCTTTCGGGCGTGCTTAGGTACCTCTGCACCTCGAATCTCGCCTCCAAACCCGCTAATTGTTGATCGCTGAATACCTAAATAAGAGGCAAGAAACACAGAGCCTCTGAATAGAGCCACCCCATCCACTTATGTCGGTTTCAATGGCAGACACATTGGATTGTCCGGAATGTTCGTAATAATTCGTGGGTAGTGTCTTTATCACTTTAACGGAGAAATAAAATGTTAATTAATTTGGTGAACAATTACTGTCTTCAAGGTACAATGATCATAAGTAGACTGCGGATTTTTATGTAAAATCGCATTTCAGAAGAATGTTCATAAAGACAAAAACAAAAGTAGAAACTTCGTTCCTCCTTTAAGTATCTTATTGGGTTCAAAAGAAAATAGAAAACTCGTTGTATCTGACGAAAGTTTTGTTCTTCATTGTATTGCATATTATATTGTTTTATGTTATGATTCATAAGTATTAGGACACTTGATTCTAATAAAAATGACATATTTTGGACCACTTTCATTCTTTTAGATAAACGTACATGTTATCTATGGAACTTTAACATCCCCCAAACAGTATTTATACAGGGTATCCTAGTATTGATTACACAATCGGAGAGGGGGTGATTTTACATGAGAAAATATGGAATCAAATTTCCATGTAGAATCACCCCCTCCTCGGTTGTACCTAATCAGATTACAGTTCTATAATTTTGAATTTAAATATAATTTTTCTTATATAATTAAAAAAATAATTAATATAATTCAAATTTCTTCTACCTTGTTAATATAATTCATTTTGTTTCAATGGCATTAACATTATTTTACAAAATATTGCTTATCAATTTGATCCCAATTTACATAAATTATGAATCAAATATCGATGCCAGAGTATTTTCATCTTTTCTCACACCACTACGATTGTTTCACAAAATATTAATTGTCTGTAGCATCCTTTTGAGTGTCACACACAAACAAAATTCGAGAAGACGATATATTATCATCCCTTCCAATGGGTCGTTAATATTACCTTCCAAATTCTCATCATTTCTATTGTTTTATATTATTAATTATAATCATTCACAACCAAAATCTTACAAAATAAAATACTCTCAACCGTTCCGACGCCATCATCAACCCCGAGCTGAAATACTTAAAGCATAAACAAAAACAGACTGAAAAACATAAACAGACAGTGTTTTAAGCGAAATTTACATTGGCATCTAATTTACTACACATTTTATCTTATACTATATTACGTTCAATTATACTATACATATTGAATATATTACTATATTATACAATTTAATTTCGTATACATTCAGTGCTGGTAGTTCTAGTGTTAAAATTCTCTTTTTCCAAAAATCTGCTAAATGGGCCTTAGACCCCGTTTCCATCCAATTACAAAAGAACGAAAACAAAAGAATACAGGTTTTTAGAGGAATCTTTCGCTCACCGTTCGTGCTTTTCGTCGACGGCAGTGCTTCAAGGCCGCAAGTTCACTGACCCCCGGCACAACTCCGACCCCCATCGCGGTGTTACCAAAAAGTGGGCCCAAGAAGAAGGCCGCTGTTGGCGGGGCCGTCGGATAACCGGGCAACAGACTTGCGAATTGCTGGTAATGTTCATGCTGAATCCCGTGGCTGGACGTCAGATGTTGATGGTGAAGCTGATGGTGGGAATGCGGCGGCACTGTGCCCCGATTAAGAATGTCCTCGATCAGGAACGACGTTCTGTTCGCCGACGTGCCGTTCTGACCTGGCTGGGCCTGCTGTTGCTGACAGGTCGACTGCATTTTCGACAGATATTCTTGAACTGTGGCCCGAGACGCACCGAACTCGTTACATTCTCAACGGAAGACGTCGATGTTCTGATTAGATCACTGATTCTTCAGGTGAGAGGAATCTTCTTGAAGATTTACACCACAGGATTTATGTGATCAAAGAAGTTCCTTAGTTTCGAATACTTCTTCTCTTGTGAAGATGTGGTTTATTAGTTTTTTGTTTAGAAAAATGCTATTTATGGTTAATGTTTCACTAGTGTCATGAATTATTGACGTAAATTGACGGATAACAGTTCGTTTAGTGTGTACAGGGTATTTAAGGAACATTCAGGAAGTTCTAATTATGAATTAAGGTCTCGTAGTCTTGGATGGTTTGTAGAATGAATAATTCTTCGGTCATTAATCACTGGTGAGATTCAGTTAGGATTAGATTAGTGTTGCTACGAAGACGAATGTCGTGTAATGTATATCACTGGAAACATATTTCAATAGAAAGGAGTGTAAGTGTTGAGTTAACTCGTTTTTCAAGAAGCTATGTTAATTGACTTCGAACTAACACTTACTGAAAGTTTCCTCTACCCAGTTCCAAATGTAGTAACAAATTTTTTATTCGTAAACTGTGTACGGAACAGTTACAACAATTCAGGAGAGAATATATCTCCAAAGTTGTATTCTCAGAAAGTTAGACTTTTTCAATGCTACTTCCGATACAGAATTCCTCGCACCATGTTCACCAAGCACAAAGAATAGTTCAAGACGATCACATTCTGCGTAATCATACGTCGTTAGTCTTCATATATATTCAATTATACTATTTATGAAATAAATTCTGGAGGAGATATCCCAGGCAACAAGCTTCCTTTGACGTGTTCAACAAAGGTCCGATCTATCGTCATAAATCCAGTCGGATATCGCGACTTGCACAAACTTTCAACGAAACAGCAAGCAAGTTCCATTCAAAAAGAACCTTAACTGACAAATACCATCTACAACATCCACAAAATATTCAGTCCACCGTCGGAAGTCCACTCGAAACCAGCGTTCTCCACGAAATCTCAACGAGATCGAACTCTAACAAAACACTCTCAACCAACAACCATCTCCGATCATGTTCACCAAACAGTCCACCAGAAGCTCCACTAACAAATACCAGTTTTCCTCGAAACAACAACACACGGATCGATTCAAATACATTCCAACGAAGGAATCTTAACTACCAACTTCCTCCATACATGTTCACCAGACATGTTCCACCAAAAGTCCACTAAGTACCGTTTTCCACGAAACATCAACGATTGCACAAACTGAATCGGACTCCAACGGATGTATTGCGACCGATAAAATCCTCCATCCACAGTCACCTATGATCTGTCACCGTGAAATGTACTTTTTCCACCAAGAAGCCGCGTTCAATTAAGCCCGACCGGAAGTGCAAGCAGAAGCGAGACGGTCGTCCACGGGGCAAAAGTGACCGGGCCAGGCGTCGTTCGGTGACGTTCAGGGAGTATCGGTGCGCGATATTCAAGGCGATATTCAACCACCCCTTCCTCCCGTCGCTTCACTCGCGATCATCTCCACCCTCCACCCGCTCTAACTGGCCAAGAAGGAGAGTATAACCTCGGCGCCGGATACACGAGCCTCGAGTCCCGTCGGTATTGGCCGGCGTCGCGACGCTCGTCGTCGCAACGGTTGGCTCCGCGGTTTCGTCGGGGCGTTACCAACCGCGCCGTTACCATGGACACGCCAGAGGGTGAACACGGCGGATCTGTCATCCCCCTTTTTGGCACGGAACACCTCGGAACGACACGACGGGAGGGTGGAAGAGGAGGAGTAGGGACACGAGAGAGGATAGACGATCCTTTCTACATATATCCGTGGATGACCGTGTTAGGTTGCGCATTCACGTTGACTACTGCACGATAACGGCGCTCACGCGTGCACTTCTGAGGTGGCTTTTCCTACCGCTTAAATTGTGTTTCGTTTTTATCCCCTTCCCGTGTAGCGATTTTCCAGGTGGTCCATTTTTTTCTCTCTTCTCTCTTTTTTTTGGTTCTAATGGTTTTTAATGGATTCCAGTGGGGGGAGTGTTTTGTTGGAGACGTTTAGGATTTAGGGGTGGGGATAGGGGGATGAAGGGTTATTGTTGGTGAAGTTAATAATAATAGTAACGTTTTTATTATAGATTATGGAATTAAATAAGTGTTGAGACACCAGGCTGTGGTAGAATCGGGTTTGTAGGCTCGTTATCACTTTGACTACCACGTCAACCAATAGGGGTTAGGTACCATTATGGGTGACGTGTACATTGCAAAGAGGCTGGGTGATTTAAATACCTTTAGAAAATTATTGCGTAAAATTGATATCGCAGTATAATTGAAAACAATACCCACACCCTTTATAACGAGAACGTATATATTTTTAACGACTTGTGACTTAGAAAAAGGAAATAAAGTGTGTCTGACTACGTGTGACCTTTTTCACTGTGGCAGTCTACGTGTTACAATAAATACTCGACGAGTGTTCGAAGGCTCCTCGACACTAAACATTAAATATTTCATAAAGTAATGGCCGTTTACGACTGAAATAAATATCATTTGTTTATCAAATATATATCAAAAATATACATCAAGATTTAGTCGATTGAATGATTTTGAAATAGTTTTGTATTCGTTTGAAATAGAATATTTTTCTGTTTTTATTCTCAATTGATATTGATATAATATTGATTACAGAAAATATTTCAAAAAGAATTACAGTGAATTATGCTTTTGTGATAAATAGGTGAGACGTACACAGACCGTTGTTTATATTCCTCTAATGAATATTACACATTGCAGAACTGAACTGAAGTAGTATTTATCTATTACAATTTACTAGTTAGCCACTTAAAATATTATTATTAGACACATTACTTTTGCTTAAAGAACCTGTACTAATATTATTTACCATTTTATTCACGCACCGCTACAAACTGGCGTAACATTATCTAATATTGATTCTCCTATAATGTCGTCTACATTCGCGTTCTACGTAAACAAATATATACCAGCAACACCGTAGTACAGTCCACAATTATTTGATTTATACGAAAGTAAACGAATTTAAAAAATTACTATGCAATTCCAACTATTCTCGCGGGTGAACGAAACCGATTGGTAAACAATTGAAAAGTATTCTGTTCGTTGATTTTCATCCAGGTCTGTTCGTCGAATGTAGCCACGATTTTTTTTTCATTCACGTCAGTATTGATCCCCCACCGAGCTTTCGCATCGAGGTGTACGAAAGCTTTTCGCAAGTCAATACATCTGTATCGAATCTTGAAGGGGGTAGAGAATGCGGATCAGGAGGAGCAGGAGCACCGGATTAGATTACTTATCGGACGATGTATACAGCACGTTCAAAATGGATGTGTCGGTGTACATCGATGTACCTTTACCCTCTGCGCCCCGTGGCAGGGACCACCTTCCGATCGACAAGGTTATTACGGCATCACGGTACTATCTTCCTGGATATCAATTTTCAAAATAATGTTAATAATAATAATAACAACAATAATGTCTTGACATGACATTGCATAATAGAATAAATACAGTACCGTACAAAATTATAACAACTTGACTATAATAATTTGTTGAAGATCAATTTCTTTGGCATTTTCTGTATTAATTAACTAAGAGTAATTCTTTGAAGATCAATTTCTTTAGCAATTTCTATATTAATTAACGAAGAGCATCGGTTTTGTTAAGATTATTTATATTTAAAACAATAACGATTAAAGAAATCCATACTCTTCGTTAATTAATACGCCGTGCGTTAATAATTACGCCGAAGTTGTTGTAATTTTGTTCGGTACTGTACATAATACTGGTTATAAATTTTAAGATATCAGATGGTTAGAAAAACCTATTCGCAAGACGCCTGTTCTATTAATATCAGATAGGTACATCATGGATCATTTCGATAGATTAATTTTTTAATAATTTTGTATTCTTTCGGAATAAAATAGGTATTATTTTAGTCTGTAATAAACAATTTTATTTATTTTATGCGCTAGGGTTTAGTATTAAAATAATTCTTGGTACACAGTCAGCTAAGGGTCTTTCAGAGAAGGGTCTATCAATAAACAGTCAATTTTATTTCAGTTTCAATTTATTCTCACTTAATTTCAGTATGAACATCAATGTTTGTTTGTGCTTAACAATATCTTATAGACCTCTCAAGACTACGCTACTTTAACTTAACCTATTTTTTCGTACAGATAATATGTAGATATCTATTCAATGTCATCAATAATTTTGTAATGGTTCTTAGAGTTTCTTTCCCACCCGGTAAGCGTCCTAATATTATATTTACGAGCTAATCATATGCATTTAAAACATTGCGACAAACTTTTTTGGTGAACCATATTATGTGTTCAAATGCAATTCCATCCGGAAAAACTTACGACTGCTTAAAGTATTTTTATACAAAATCTAGATTTCTGATAATCCTCTTACCTAAAGTTTTTGCTACAAAATCTAGATTTCTAATAGTACCTACTCTTGTCTAAATCAAATTAATAATATTTCTATTGATAATATTTATTTATTACAAAAAAAATTTCTGTTGCCGACATATTAAACATGTCCAAGTGAAACGACAGTACGGAATCGTGCAAAAACATTCGAGGCCACGTCGCGACCTGTTTAGCAAAGCGTCTACGTATAATGACGCAATCATCCGTAAAGCTGGACCCGTATTCATCCCTTATATTAGAGGGCCTCTGCTACGGTGACGTCGGAAGGGAGAAGAGGCGCGTGCCGGCATTTAGACGGGGTTGCTTCCGCGATTATTGAGTAAATTAACGTCCCGGTAATTGTGTTACCGACGCGTGTCCATTCATCCGCCCCGTCGTTCCCTCGATGGTGGTCGACAATCCATGGCCAGACCCCGAATGTCGACGTGGAAGCCAAAAACCCCGTCCGCACGCTTAACGCTGCCTGAAACTATCCCTACGGTGTGTCCCGAAAACCGCTTCCCCGGCGACAGCGTGATAGGGGAGGGGGGCTAAATAAACCCTCGAGAGACTTGTTAGACCAAAAATGAGCACACGATTTTTACCTCGAGATGGTACGGGATGGTAATCGACAGCCGTGCATCATACGCTTGGTTGTGCATCCCCTAATTGAAACAGTCTTTCGACCCTTCGACAGATTCTTTTGAACGATCCTTTAATAGATGTTTGCTTCAAACGATTCCTTAAGAAATTTTTTTGAACAATACTTTGGCAGATTTTCTTTCAACGATTTCTTTGAATAGTGTTAATGGACTTTTTGGATTACCGCACAGAAAGAAAAGGAAAAAAGAAATTCTTCGATTTGTCCCTTATTTTGGGCATTACTGATGATGTTAATATATCAGGCAGCCTTATAATTAGATTTTTCTAGTTTGTAATGTAATAGATTTTTTGGAATACCCTACAGAGAGTCTTTTATAGTAGAAGCTTTGTTTGCATTTATTCAATAAAAAAAATAATGAAAATTATTTTATGTCTCGAGTAAAACACGAACACTTTATTATAAAAATGTTTGAATTACATAATGATTAAGTATACAATACGAATACGAAAATATTGATATGTTGTGACGTATGATTAACATAAATAAAAACACTTAAATGATTAATACATTCTATTGAAATAATTATATTTAAATTATTTATGAAGAATTAATGGTACGGTTTCCAATTATAATACCGTTAATGCATTCCGTACAGCCGCGAAATTTTAGGTTTCCAGTAACAGTTTGATTATTAATAGAAACTCTTAACTCGTACTACGTGACAGACACAAAATTTTAATGGAATAGAAAACTATATAGTAAAAATTAACTTTTAGCTGTGTGTTGGAATAAGACATTCAACTAATAAGTCTTCCTATAATAAATATATTGTTCGTCAATGCAATATTTCAAAAAAATCTAATTTTTTCAGTTTCATTTAATAACTCAGCTTAAAAATTGAAATATTAATTATATTGTTATACCACTGACTCTTGACTTTTTAGCACTATTACCGGCATAACACTATAAGTTAAAAATGATATGAAACAAATTATAATTATTTTGCAACAATGCACTCTTTTTTCCTAAAGTATAAAAAGAACCCTCTAAAATGTGTTAGTAGAGCTATGGCCCACGTATGGGCCATCTATCTCAAGTCAGAGCTTCCATGCTCCATAAATGACGCATACAACAACGAACACGTTAAATACACTCTACACCCTACCACGTGTGCACACTGACTTATAAACTGTTACATCTACTCGACCAAATTATGTACCAAACTACGAATTTTATAAGATTTCAGAATTAAGAAACCTCGAGCACAAAAGGATATTAAAAATAAAAATAACAAGGGCACCTAAATATGAATTGCATAAAATTTGTTACGCTCAATTCTTATTTCGAAAGTATACGAACGAAATTTACAAGTCACTCTATAAACAAACATTTGTAACTTTTGACAAACTTTGGTCACGAGAAACAGTGTCAATCAGCTCGTCTAACTCGTCTGACTCGTCCTTTTGTCTTTTCTGTCGACTAGATTCAATCAAGAAGAATGGACGACTCAGATGTCCTCGTCGTTGGTGGCTCTCTTGTAGAAGGCGCGAGAGAAGCTCGCTGGACCTTGATTGCCGCAGAAAAAGAATCCGCGACGCCAAAGGACGAATAGGGTCAGGCAAACGGGGACCGCGAGGATCAGACCGATCAGCACCCCGACGAGGATCGTCGCGTCTTTCTCGGGCTTCGCTCCATAGACGTCCAGGCAACGGAGCTTCCGATGGGCCAAAGACGACAGGTTCTTCCCCGCGTGTTCCGTAGGCGCTGAACAGGTGAGCGTGTTAACGTCATCTCCCATTAACTTCTTTCCATATTTCGGTAGCAGAGTTCCAATCTGTAGGAAAATATATATTACTTAACCCGCTCACTGCATCTTTTTGGTATCTTATACTACAAAAATTTTTTTAACAAAATCAAAAATAGTGCTTTTGATTTTTCAACACTTTTCATTTCTTAAGAAAAGGAATTTTATTCTGTATTACTCGAGAATTCTCGAGAATTTATTGGTAATAGTATACAGGAGGTCCCAAAATAGGTGTAAGTCCTTGAAAAGGATGATTTCTCGGGTGATTTGAAATAACTTTTTCCTTAGCGAAAAAATTCTCCGAGGCTTTGTTAACGAGATATTAACGAAAAACCCCGACCAATCAGAGCGCGAGTCTGCCAGCTGAGCTCCCGCAGTAGCGCGTAGCCAACGGTACCGCAGGAGCTCAGCCGACAGACTCTGATTGGTCGGGGTTTTTCATTGATATCTCGTTAACAAAGCTTCGGAGAACTTTTTCGCTAAGGAAAAAATTGTTTCAAATCACCCTAGGAAACAACCCTTTCAAAGACTTACAACTAGTTTGGGACACCCTGTACATCTTTAAATTGAATTCAATTTTGGTGCAACTAGATATGTAAATCAGCGCTGTCCAAAACATTTATCGGTTGAAAACTCTAGTTGGAAAAAATTAAAAACCCTACAAAATGCCGAGATTACGAATTTCTTATTGAAATTTTGCAGCGACTAGATTTTATTTTTACAGTAACAACATATTACCATAAGTATTGTCCTTGAAATTTTTCAGATTTTTTGTTGAGGTGCTTTTAGAAAATTAAAAGCATTTTCAAGAGTTTTTAGTCCATCATTTTGATAATCCGAAGTGACAAAAGAGAACGGTGTTTCTTTCAAATGAACTAATTTCGTTACGAGGAAATAATTTCTTTAGGATCAGTTCCTATTTAAGAAAACAATGATTTTAAAATCTTGGAGAAATTGTTTCTCGATAACAACAATTGCCCATTTGTAAGGAACATTCGTCCACTTCACATTTTTTTATGACGTCGAATGCAACGGAGACGTACGGATTGTTCCGTTTAACCGAGGCACCGTGTATAACGTGATTGTCCAAACTTACCAGATATTGATTATCGCAATCGCAGCTCCATTTGTTGTTCATCAAATCCAATTCTTCGAGGTTGTCCCATGACGCGCCCACAAGGTGCACAGGCAAATATCGCAGTGCGTTATCCGATAAATCGAGTTTCTTCAGTGGTGGCCACTCAGGTTGCTCTGACTCCTTCGTCTATGGTCATTAAAGGGATAATAGTCTTTACGATCCAGTACCCCATTAAACGGTACCGATTCTGCACGCCATTTTCACGCGTCTCAATCGAATCCTCGCCGTTATAAATCGCGATTCAATTACGTTCGAGGGAAAATATTATAGAAAGGAAACGTAACGCCTCTACCTATAGGGATTAATTAACGGCAATCGGTTTCTTCAATATTAGATTCTGGTAATAACTTCGACAGTCGAATCGAAGAAAGACTCGACATTCTGTAATTTTTTTTGAAAATATAATTCCTCTATTTTGATAAAGGTGACTAGTGACAGTATCGAAAATGCTACAATTATGTGACACTTGAACCCTTATCAAACATTTGCACAACGATTGAGGGGTTCGTGTCAGAGATAACATTTATCAAGAAATTCGAAAGTGGAATTAATAGCACTTCCTAATTGTTCAAGTTAGATACTCATTCGTGAATTTATCGTCAATGACAAAATAGCCAGTGCTGCATACTATATTAAAATTTCAATTGTTTTGCAAAAGATTATTTTACACAGACTACAGTATATGTATTTGCTAAAAAATCTTTCTGCGCCCACGCTATTTACAGGACACTAAATTGATTTTATAACAGAACAACCAAACTCCTCATATTTAATTTTTGTTGCCATTAACAATTGCGGTACATCGAGTTTCAAACCACTTGTTATATTTGCTGCAAGTTGTTGAAAAAAATGTTCCCTCCTTAAACATTGTGTATCTGTTATACATATATTTATATATGTTCATCTATTCGCATATTTTACGAATTTCGCACTTTACAGCATCTATTCTGAATTTTAGCATTTATTTAGCATCTATCGCAAAATGCTAAAAATACGTGTCTGTAGTCATGTGTATAAACTCATTAGATTGTTTTATAATCATGAAACCTGCTAACAAGTCACGAAGCTAAATCGTGTGCAATTTCCCCCATAACTCGAGTCAATTCTTTCAACTATGCAATCGTAATTAATGCAAAAAGAAAAATTATAGATACCCGAGTCGCTAGGGCGTATTCGTCGATCGTTTCCAATTTCGGGCAGCTTTCTATACGCAGGTGTTCCAGCGCAGCCAGGCCTGAGAAAGCACCTTCACCGACCACTGTCAAATGCGGCATACAACAAAGACTCAACTCCTTCAGTTTCGACATGTTGGGGAACGAGTGACTTTTGTTAATAATTTGAATCGGATTTTCGTCCAGATAAAGGTACTCTAGAGACTCTGCCTCACCGAGGGCGGCTGGGGGCGTGTTGAGTCGATTGCCGCTTAAGTTCAGCTTCTTGAGGTTCCTAGGTAAAAAACGAAATTTTAATACAGGTGCCAGAAAAGAATTACAAACGTCTTGTTTGACACAATTAAAGTTTGTGGTGCAGTTCCAAAATTTTCATAGAATCCGAAACTTAGATGAAAAATTCATACTCATTATGAACAATGTTTAAATAATTCAAACTGATGTTGCAATCATAAAAAATATAGAAATTGAGACCGTGACCGAATGTTATACCGAAACTAGGACCCAAACCGTATATTAAAGTTGAAAATAAGCTTGACCCTGAAATCGAGTACAAACCCTGCCCGATCGTGAAACTAAATGCAGAACTGAACCGTAGGTGAACCCCGAAATTAAGCTTGAGCCCTGAAACTGAGCCCAAATCCTATCCCAATCCTGAAATCATACTCAAACTCTAGTCCAAAATCGAATCTAAGATTAATCTCGAAATCGACCTCAAGCTCTAGCACGAGTCCGCCATTAAGCACGAACTTAAAATCATGATCGAAAAGAAACCCGAATCCTAGCGTGAGTCCGAAAGTAAGCCCAAGGTCAAAATGAAACCCGTGTCTGAACATATGGTCTCCGTACGAGTTTTTCTCCATAAAAATAACTATTCTACGCACAGCGATATCTAGTGCTCTTATCAGCACAGTCAGACCTATTGAATCATTTTCCGTTGTTGTATCTATGTATAAGTAGAGTATTAGTACATGCTTCAATATCGGAATCGATTGTGTAGTTGCAAACGATATTAAAGCGAACATATTCGGACTAGCCGAGTGTACAGCAGAATTACATACCTGACGTTGTAAAATTGAGTGTCCGGAAGTGACTTTAACCCGCAGTAACTCAGATTCAGCTCCTCTAATTTTTGTACGGAAGTGATTGCCAGGGTGGTACGAATATCGATTTGCGTGAACAAATTATGGGATAGATCAAGTACTTTCAGGTTCGACATATGCTCGAAGAGATCCTGATGCAGGGAATAAAGGCTGTTATAAGCCAGCCTCAACACCGTCAGGTTTGCTAAAGGCTCATACGCTGTCGGTGAAAATCCACCCTAAACGTATTAGGAATTTCCAAATATTAATTTAATTTAAAAAAGAAATATCTCTTATTGGATTAAGTCGGAAATAACTTCCGTCATAAATGGCAAACATTCAATGAATAATAATTAAAGATTAATGACAATGAAAAATTCATAAATTTAACACTGTTTGTCAAATTTGATAATAACGAGGAACATATAGTTGATAAAAAATAAGCATTAATTGTTTTCGATAAAAACAAATTTAAAACATAGAAACGGAAGGTATTTATTACTCAACGATAATTTAATTGTGCAAGAACATAATTGACTACTGTGTTTAAAATAATTCAAGCACAACATATCCATAACATTTTGCATTTATTCTCTTGTAAACTATCCCTTATAAAAATAGAATAATAATCATTCTTCAAAATTAATGCAATTTTAATAATCATCATTCAAACAAAATAATTCTTCTTTTTGGTTCATTCATTGTTGGAGATTCTGCTGCGCCCACGCAACAATATTTATATTTTATGTTATATCTGTGCATTATTTCCAACACTGAAATTCATTTATTTGCAATCTAAGTAATAAATTTCTTCGTAAACGAAACTTTCAAGATAACAGCTGTGACTAATGAAATATTATACACATAGATCATTATCGTATATGTTCAAACTAATCGACTTTGGTATAGTGTAATAGTTCGGCGTGTATTAATAAACAAAACTACGACGATACCATAAAACTCGACATTTTAGTTCATTTTTGACAGTTTTTATAGTACAGAAAATTGCAACATACCTGAAACGCATCGGGTTGCAAATTCGCTGCAGTAAGGTTGTTATGGCTCAAATCTAGTTCGGTGAGATTGATTAGCTTCATGAATGCGGCATCGTCGATTTTCGTGATCTGATTCCCTTGCAGAACTAATTTATTAATAACAACCTTTGGAAAAGGAGTCACGTGTATCAACAGGTTCCCCATAAAGGACATTACGGACGTGTTCCGCCATTCGAAATCTTCGAAATGACCGATCAAGTTTCTGTCAGTGCAATTAACCATGTCACCTGATGCATAAAGAGTAGTTTCAAATTTTCATTACGCGTTAAAAATTATGTATCAAAAATACTTTATATTTTTCAGTGTCTAATATATATAAATATTCTTCATTCAGCCACTAAGATTATAAATCGAAAATCTTTGTAACGTTGAATATTTAATATACTGTCTTATTATTATCTCTATCAACGCGTTGTTAGTGTTCATAATCCTGCTCAAATACGTTCACAGTATATATGTACCTGTACAATTGCAAACAGTACACAAACTCGGAAGTTTAGGTGCTACTGTCGCCACCGTTTCATTTTTTTCATTTTTTTCAGTGGTCGTGTTGTCCGTGGCAGTAGTGTTAGCAGGCTTCGTAGTATCCTCGCAATGCACTGCCGAAAAGACGATTATAAATACAAGTAACAATCGATGATCCATGTTTCCTCGTGAGACCAGTAATCGTAGAACTTCACACCGAGAACTGGGATCGGTTTTCTTGTATCAAGCCCCACTATCCCCGATAAGAACGACGTGATAAGATACCGCTGGTCGCCGTTATTCATCGTTCTAAGCAGGTAAATATGTAATCCTTTTGCAGTTAACTCGTTTTTTTTATAATACCGACGCGATATTTTCAGAAATTGAGATTCCGCTCGAGGACGACAATCGTATGCATTTTTCATCCCTTTCTTTACACAATAATGAGAAAATTTACGTAAGTTTCAAACGTAACCGTGAATAGAGTGATGACACAAATACACCGAAAATGTAGACTAGAATATTTTAATCAAGACGTCATTTTTGAGAAAATTGCTTTCGACAACTACATTGACAATAACGCAACTTGTCAAATTGCAATTATACGTAATTTTTTGTTTATATTAAACAGTCTTAATTCAATCACAAAGATCATATAAATGTTTATAAAAAATTTCAATCGACATGTTTTTTTCACGAAAAAACATTGCATCTACTTTTGAAGCAATATGGCGATTACATACTTAATCCCATTGTATAGAACATGATTATACCAATAGTTGTTTCTAAGCTTTTCTTATTAAATGTATTTGCGAAATACAATTAATATCCACTAAAAACGGTACAGATAACCCGTGGTGTTGTGTATATAATTTTTTTTCACTCAACAAGTTTAAATAACGCGCGCTTTTTAAAAATACGCCTCGATAGACAGTCAATCGCGTCGGTGTCGCCATCTTGTGGCGAGCCGCGGTTACCAGCCGGGGCAAAACCTTCGCGAAAAGTATTGAATCGATGACGTCACAAAAGACGTGTCAGTGGAAGGAGTAGACGGGGATTGTGGAGGAGCATGTGAAAAATGTCTGATTACTTTAATTTATCGTGCGACGTGAACAGTGGTAAACAGACGCGTTTGTGTTGAACGCAGCGGTGAACAATAGTACCGGTGTCGGTACGTGATCATCGTCGACCCTCACAGCGTATCACGTGGACGAAACGGGACTGGATCGGTCGCGGGACGGGTCGGACACGCCGACCGAAAATATTTTCGAAAAATAAAACCAGTGCTCCAGTGTTGTTTTGCTCCTGCGGGACTCATTGGGACCAGTCTCCACGACACAGTAAGTCGATCGGGAATAAGCATCGCCACCGACAGTGTCAGCGCGACAGCTGTTCCCGTGCATCGTATTTGATCGGTTAACCCCCTGTTGGGCCGTGCACCTGTGAATTTAGTGAGGTTAGGTTCGGTTAATTCGTTCCTGGCGTGCGCCGATACACGCGAAAAACTTGTTTTGTGCGCAATGCCCCCAGTGAACGCCCATTTCTCGCGGTCTGCCTTGACAGAATTGCGGATTGATACGATCGATATTGTCAAGGGTCTTCCGGAGAGCGACTTTTTTAGATGACATCATGCGTACCATGCGATTCGTGTTCGTCACCTTCTTGATGATGTTTTGTCCGTTTTATCGTATGCTTCGAAGAATATTTATATAGTTATTTACAGACGGAACTAGTTACTATTAACAATAACAGTAAAAATAGTATCGGGGCTAGAAATAAACACAGGAGAAAAAATCAGATTTCTTTGAATTAACGTTACGTTGCATTGAGCAACGCACAACGCAAAGCATTTCCAGGAGGCTGTAATGAATTAGTAAAGAGATCAGCAGAGTAATGAGTATTATTAGCGTTGGAGAACATTCGGATGCAGCAATTAGGATAACCATACAGAGTTCGATGCGTTCTAGTAAACAACACGGAATGTTGTTTTGCTTAAATATATCAATTTGTTGAAGTAATATCTATTTTTCTTTTCTGACGTCAACGTATGTGATCGTTTGTATTGCTTAGAAAATAATTTATTTCATATTATGTTGCACAATCAAATCTTATTAAACTCGTAAAATATTTAAAATGGAAAAGTATGTTTTGGTAGGGGTAAGACTGACTCATAACATTTACATACAATTGGTTATTTTTTATTATACATGGTAACCCCTGTAACATTGGTGAATGCTTGATGCTCTTTTGATTTCTGTAAAAAAATAAGGGTTTTTCATTTTAAAAATTCAATATGTCCGGCAAAACAGTGCGTAAACAGTATAGAAAAAATGTTTATGCCATTCAGGTTAGGCATGATACTCATATTGTGTTAGTGATTCCATTTTTCTCGAGACTAATCACAACGTCATTATTCTGATTAATCGTGTTACGTGCTCATTTAACAATATTATGTACATATTTTTCAACGTATTCTCAGTCTGTGGAATAACTTATTACGTATTTATTTTTTATTGCTCCTTATTTTTATCTGTTTGCAGTGGCCATCACTACGGGTATAATTTAATTTGTTATATTGGATCGTGATTTTCAGTTTATTTTTTTAAATTCTTGTCGTTTCGAAGTATTTTGCAATTAACGTTACCTCTCATACGTTCTCCGTTATTTTTAAAAGTAAAAAATACTATTTAACAGACAAAGTTTCACTAGTACTGACATTTAATTCTTATTTAGAATATTTTAACCAATTAAGTTCAACCAATATTTGAAGGCAAATCATTACGAAATTCCAAAGAGTTAAATATTTTACGGATGAGGATACACGAATAATAATCATAACCCACGTACTGTGAAGAAAATTAATTACATACGTCATATATTTCTATTTTTTTGTATCGACAGTCGCATTCCGTGAGTATTGATCTTGTTAATTTGAAAAATTCGTAAATGAATTCAGTTTATTTGCAAAGGAAGAATATACGTATTGTCTAATACTATATATGAATAGAGATTCGGATGTATCCACTTTTTTATATTTCATCACGTTTTTTGTAAATGTTTTTTTACGCGTTTTTATTAGTATAGTAAGGTACATTCATACAGCATTTCCTTGTAATATTGCCACACTTTCAGTTACACCGAAAAAGGCGGGAATTTTATGTTATTAACAAAAAATTATCAGTTACGTAAACAACTATTACCGTATAATATAAAGTGGTTTGTAATACAAAAAAGTTTAGGTTTGAATACATTTTGAAGGTTAAGTTAGTTAACCCTGTATCGATAATCGCAATCTGTTATTTGGACTAGTTATTTGAAATTCGATCTGGAGCAGAATAATTCGTGTTAAGCAAAATGCGTTAAATAGTAAACTGGGAACTTTGCAACGCGAGCGCTTATTCATCGGGCAGCGAGCGAATCGGTGTTTACATCGTATCAGGAGAACCGGTTGAAATCGTTCAAAGAATTTGTTGCGGGACAAAAAAGAGTGACAAAGATGCTGTAATGAAGTACCGCCATTACGTTGCAGCGTGTGTTACAGATTTTCAAATTGTGCTTATATTATGGTTTCTACATGAGGCATGAAACATTTTTAATATAATAAACAACTAAATATCAGAAACCACTTTAAGAAAATTATTATAAAACTGATTAGCGGTGGGAAGGAGATAAACAAACTTGAATTCTTGTTACTTATTTATTTAAGAAATATCTGGAATTTTTATATGAATGTAGAAATAGATAAAGTAAAAAATATTGAAACATTAAATACCAGTACATATGCAAATTAGTTAGTCACAGCGTTCGACATTTGTGTCCATACTTCGTGCACGCATGCGTATACTTCTCGCGAAACATTTTTGTATTTGTCAAATATTTTTAATTTATAAATCGATTAAATTTTTTAAGGCTATTGATCAGACAAAACTTCAGTTAATCTATGACAATAGTGCTTTATAAAATTCTATTTATACTCGTTTATTTATTACAGTTAAACAATATGGCTTTGAAAATTCATTCGCATGCAGTCAATTTTTGCAATATTAAATTGTATTGATATTTGTTTGCACGTTAGAGGGAGACATTATTAAATTATTGCAACAATTTCAACCTTAGAAGTACAGTTATCTAATATAGTCAAAGTTAGGCATTATTTAAATGAAATTCTAAGTGTTGTTTATAGTCACCAGAAAAAAAACAATAACATTCATTATTCCAAAAGCAATTACAATATATATAATTATTTATACGAATAACTGTATATAAATAATTATAAATAAATTATAAGTCGAATGAAATGTTCCCAGAAACCATCATTTATCTTTACCAAAAAGCAAATAATAATACTATTCACTATTTCAAAATAACAAACAAATTGACCGTAGGTTTCTATAAACGAATTGTCTAAAATAATATTATTTGCATGACTTCGAATGAGACTTATTTAAACTATTATTTATTACATCTGATTTTAAATAAAATTCGTCCAACGCTGTCCTGACCCCTTTCGGTCGAAAGAAGTGGCGAGACAAACTCGAATTTCCCGCAGAAATTTTATCGAGCACCCTATAGGTAGAGCGTTGCGCAGCAGTGAGGCATCGGCGCCGTCGGCAGCGGTGGCCTCTTGTAGTTTTTGCTACGCCCTCTTCGAATGAAAATGATTCTTCCCCGGCGTGGTGTGGTAGTAGGGATCGTCGACCATTGGTTATCGAACGTTTGACTGACAGTTCGACTATCTCGTGTCAGGACAGCGATGAAAGGGAGAAAGAAAAACAGCCTCTGGTCCCGTATTAACGCCTACCGACGATCCAGTCCACTTCTCTAACTACGAATCTCTTTTCTTCGCCAGTTTGTTGGCCCGACACGACGCCGGCTAAATACGACCAATGACTGACAGGTAGTAAACAACTCCGCTCGCCCACCGGGATACCATATTCGTCATAATTAACTCTTTCGGTGCCAGGTTGGTATGTGCGCGCGTTTAACGTCTTTCTCGCGGCGAGATCATTTCGCCGGACAGTTTTCGAACGACTCCGCGAAATATATTTCTGTATGGGTGTATTTATAAAGGTGAAAATAATATTGAATAATTTATATAGCTGGGAATATATGCGTATTTATTTTTTATTTTTTCTTTCTGGTTTGAAATTTTATTCCGACGATATTTCCGTTAAATCGAGGTAAAGTGTATTTCGTTTGAAATGAAATGAATTTTGCTACCGTTGTGGAAGAGGGAGTCTGTGGCCACTGTTCATACAGATTTTAGAGAGTGTACTTGATAAACATAATACCTATTTAGAATTTATTCGTTTTTTTCTTTGAGACTATTTAATAAGGTAAATCATACGATATTCCGAGGGAAAAGTAATAGATTAGGAATATAATTTAAAACATTAGTTTTAACGAAAGAGGCAAATATTGGGTACATAGGCATGCACTATAAATTTGAATACTTCCTTACCTTCGAAAATAAACGTTAACTGTTTACTACCTGCTTGGCACTCGAAGGGTTGAAAATTTGTTCTTGTATTTACACTCGTAAAAATGTGTTTTGTGTCTCTGTTAGTGTCTCTCATAAATGTAAAAATAAGTTAGACACACCTGATATTTATATTTACATTATTATCATAGCTTCGCTAATTTACGAAATTTTAATAATATATTTCTTTTACTATTAATTATATTTACGTTTAATTTTTTATTATTTTGCTTTGACAGCTTCTGTAACAGTGAACTCATTTTTCTGAGTTTTTAAAAAAATTGTTATGTTATAATATTACAAGATCAAAAGCATCCTTTAACAAATTAACATGTTGCCTTCTTGTCCGTTTGAGTTATCGCTTCTTACCCTCTGATTGCGTTTAATTGCCCGTTTCAGTGTCGCAGTAATTATTTGCTCGTTACAAGGAATCGACACATTAAACGCGTGACGCAGTAAATCGCACGGACAAAGTGCACGTACACCATTCCAAAGTTACCGCCAATTCGTTTCGTTTTCAGTTGCACGCAACACGTGATTCAACGTTGTAAATCTGCTTTCTGTTTTTTTTTCTCAGCAGTAGTACATTTAAAACCAGATAAGATCTTTTGCTTCTATCTCTTTTGTCATCTACATTGTTATGTATATTTATCAAAAATAACATAATATTTAGAAAAAAGTATTTATTATTACAATTTAAACTTTATTAAGAAGTTTTATGTACAGCTTAATCTACATGTCAAAATTAGTGCAATACGTCTTCATTACTATTATAAACTGTATAAACAACGAAAAAATATTTGCATATAGTTTTATTATACTCATAATACTTATAATAATATATGTTAGATTTCTGGAAAA